ACATCTGTATTTAAGGGCTCATCTCTTTGTATCCTTAATGTGTTCGGGTTAAACTTATCAGATCTTTTCTTTTTTCTTTTTTTAAGTCCAAATTTTAACTTTTGTTCTACTCACCTGCCCCCCCCCCCGGCAGCTTTTTTTCTACCTAGTATTAGTAAGAGAACTCAGGGGTATGATATACCACTGAGCTACACCCCTAGTCCTTTTTTTTGTTGTTGTTTTTTGTTTGTTTGTTTTGTTTTGAGACATGACCTTGTTAAATTGCTGAGGCTGTTCTGATCTTGTGATCCTCTTGCCTCAAATAGCTGAGAGTAGAGATATGCGACCACACTTAGCAAAATATAACTTTTCTATTGTGATTTTCCTTGCAGCCAATATTTCTAATTAACTTTTTCATAATAAACTCAATGTTGTATAGTTTCATCTTATTTCAATGAATATTTCTTGTTAATTTAAAGACTGATTATAATATTAATTATGTTTCATTAAGATAAAGTTATTTCTTATCAGTTGAGTCTTTTGATTACCGTTAATGACTATTTAGTCCTCCAAGTTGTTCTTGTCAGATATTTTGGTCACACAGATAAAATGTTGGCTGATACTGATGTAACTTATGTCTAGTTAGCATCAATGTTTAAGAATAAAAAAATTATTTTACAAAACAAAATAAACTGTTATGGTTTAGATGTGAGTCCTCCAAAAGCTGACATGTAAGACAATGCAAGAAAGTTTGGAAGAGAAATTATTGGGTTTCATCCTTAACCTAACCAGTGAATTAATCCCTGATGGGATTAATTGAGGGGTAACTGGAGGCAGGTGGGATGAGGCTGGAGGAAGTGGTTCATTGGGGGCATGGCTATGGGTATATATTTGTATCTGGTAAGCAGAATCTCTCTCTGCTTCCTTATCATCATATAAGCTGCTTCCCTCTGCCACACTCTTCAACCATGATGTCCTGCCTTACCTTGAGCCTCAAGAAATAGAGCCTTCTATCTATGTATTGAGACCTCTGAAACTGTGAGCCCCTAAACAAACCTTTCCTCTCTACAATTGTTCTGGTAGGGTCCTTTCATCACAGCAGTGAAAAAGCTGACTAAACCACCGACCAAACAAAAAACTACAGGAGCCAAGAAATATTGTAGTTGCTCATGAAATAGATAAACTTAACAACTTAAATTTCATGGTAAATTTAAGAAAACATATGCATTTAAATTGGTAATATTGGGCTAATAACTCAATTTTCATTAATTTTTTCACTTGGTTTTGAAGGTTATTAGATCTTATTAGTATAGATGAAACTATCAGACAAGGGGAAAATATGAAGTGAAATATAGCACCCTAATCACAGATGTGATTCATGTCCAGTTAGCATTTGTGCATAGCTGCATAGCTTTTCCACACAATTTTGTGATATCTCACTTCAAACTGTACATAAGCACCCCAAAAAGTTTGCAAACTTGATAATATTTTTTTTTGTTTGGGACATAAGAAAACAAAGAATCAAACTATTTAAAAATTATAGTTGACACTAAACAAACTCTTGGTCACAATGTTAAGTGCTTTATTTAGTGCTTGACAAATCCTCAAAATCATCCTTCAAGTAAATGTTGTCATCTCCCATTTATATGAGAGTAGAAGGAGGCTCCATATAACTAATTAACTTCCAAAACTTCCATATTTTAAGAGGAAGATCTAGAATATGAACCTAGTGCTTAGGATATTTTTCTCATTATTTCACAGTCTTTGAAAATGTTACTAGTCAGTGGTAGCAGGCATAAACATAGACCCAGATTTTCCAATTCAGAGTTCACAGTAGGACCTATCACATACCTCACAACTCCTTGATTTTTTTGTTAATCAAGAAAGTTACTATGGAGGAAATATCTGAAACCATGAGCCAAAATAACCTTTCCCTCCTCTAAGTTGTTCTTCTTGGGTATTATGGTCACAGAAATGCAAAGTTGACTAACAGAGTTGATATTTTAAAAACCTGCTAAGAGTTACTATTAAAGAAAAATTTTAAAAATAACTTTTGTCAATGAGTCACCTGATTGAATCTGTAATTTCATTTATCCCTTCCATTATTAACTAAAATTATTATAACAACATAAATATACAATGCCAACAAGTATATATCACACTAGACAGTATATTTGGTATTAGAAAAAATCTCATAGAAACTTTATTCAAAAGATACTATATTCAGATACCAATTTCCAAATTTTATAGATTCCTAAAATGCTAAAACTGAGGTACTAATTTTAAGTACCAATTTTCTGGACATAATTCATTTTAACATTAGTTAAACATTTGAAGTTTGGAATTTTAATTTTCATTTTTATGAATGCCTCTATAAATATCTAATATCAGTAGAAGTGAACTGGTTTGATGTGTATCTAGTTTTCTAGTTAAAATCATTTTTCCAAACTTTAGGCAATAGATAAAAAGTTCATCCTAATTTCTTTCTCCCTTTCCTACAATTCATTAATTAAATTTGAGAGGCAATGAGAATCTAGTTGGTCTACTAAATATAATGAAGATATAATTTCTTTAAAATTCTATTGAATACTAAAATGCTTTACAAAATAAAACTTTTAACAGTTGTATCTGTGCAGACAAATTAAAAAACCATCATCAGATTAAAACCACAAACCAAACTATTATTTCCATGTTATTTTACTGAAGCCGTACTGTTACAGGATTACAATACTGCTATTAGGACAAACTTACAGAATCAGAATCTGCCTCTTACAGAATCAGAATCTGTCCTTCATTGCGAAAGCAAACAAAAGCATGTAAAGCATGGTCACAGTCATCATTCTGCAAATGTGGGAATAGCAAAAAGCAATGAAAGTACAGGACAGGAGGACGGGAGGAAAGCAGCTGGCCTCTGATTCTACTGTAGGCTATCGTTTGTGCAATTTAATCTTTTCCACTACAATACCTCCCAATCACATGTTCAGGTTCAAATGGAGCAGTCTAAGGTATGGATCTAACCAATAATGGCAGACTACAGAGTTGATATTTTAAAAAATAACATAAGTTATAGGAAAAACAATTTTAAAAATATTTTATATTTTAGTCTGCTTTCCTAACCTTTGCTTAATTTGGTTGAAATATAGATTCATATTTCTTTAAAGGTCAAAAATCAATCACTGTTTTATCAAACAATCACAACATAAAATTATTAGCATGTGTTATACGTCAACCTAAACTACTCATGTCAGAAGTCTGAATTATAATTATATTTTTCGCTTTATATTTTTTATGAATTTTCTGGTTGTTCATATTTTTCTTATCTTTATAACAGCTTTGGCAGTCAGGTAAATTTAAGTAAAACTCACACTGACCTAAAAAATACAGGACTTTCTAAAACAGCTACAACTTACTGGCTAGCATTTTAAAAAAATGATAATGGAAAACTTTTATATGTAGTTCCTCTAGGGATAAATTTATTTATTATCTGATATTGAAAGTAAAGTTATATCAAAAGTACAAAGTATAATTGGAATGAAATAGGACGATAAATTCTTTTTCTAAAGTTCTTGATTCAATGAACATGCATTTAGTGCCATCCTAATCTATGTTTAACTCTCTTCATTAGGTACTACTTATGGAAAGTCCTAAGTGTGGCCACATAGTCAATCTTACTCYGTTTCTGATGAATTCTGTACAGTGGAGAGGATATCTTTGAAGCTCTTATACAAGCCTTCAAATAAACAGACTGCTTTAGGAAGGAGTAACAAAAGCTCATTAAAACCAAGTGAAAATTCTCAAAGTAATAGTGTTTCTCTTCTCTCTCTCCTTCTCTCTGTCTCTTCTCTCTCTCCTTGTCTCTGTCTTTTCTCTTTCTCATGTCCAGAGTACTGACTAATATATATCACTTTAACTTGTTTTGTTTTGAAACAAAACATGTGTTAGCTCACATACATATCATGTGGCCTTTCATTTACTGCATCCTGTGAAAGTATGCTCTGGTTTAATGAAGAGACAATAGGTCCTTAAAGGAAGATAGGGAGCAATTCAAGTGAATCTTGTCCATCAAGTAAGGATTTACTCAGGTTATAAAGATTATACCTTGCACAGGTCACGTAAGCCTAATGCAGTTTTGAATTTGGTAAGAAAATAAATTATATCCAAGAATTTATTGCAACAACTCACAACCTCAAATTATTTCTATTTTCTTATTCCCATGAGCTTTCCATAGAATTAACCTGTCAGAAAGCAGGGAGGAAATAACACTGATTTATTACTGAAAGCAAAGTGAGACTTAAGCTTCAGACATATTATAGGAAAGGGTCTAATGCAAAGAATATTTTGTGTTTAAGTTGACCAAAACAGTAAGTCATTAACTAAAACTCTAGTGTAGGCACATGTTTAATTCAGTCTTCTAGCTAACTAATCCCTTAAGATTATAAAATCTTACTGTAAAGCTATATAAGCTGATCATTTAAATGATACATGGGAATTGTTATTGACTCAAGATAGGAGACCCCAGAGAGCATAAGGAAGCACCAGACAATCTGTAATTTACAAAGGAGTCATAAAAGAGAAACCCAGGACCAAAGTTTATGGCAAAAATATCAGGGAAAAAAATCCTTAGCTTTGTTTTCTTGTAAATATTTATTTAAATAACAGGTCTGCTTCCAATCTATAAGATCAGAGAGCATTTCAGGGGAAAGAATTGATTAAGGGAGACAGCCTTTTCATAACAGGGTCTCCTTGCTACACTTCCATGAGTAAGTTCTATTTTTATATCATCTATTTTATACACTTTCAAAGCATTCTAATAACCTACTGGGATTGCAACAAATTTGACATATGGTTTTGTAAACTTTCATTATTATAACCAAATTGTTGAATAAAAACATTGCTTGTTACAAAATCACTTATCTTTAGGTTTGTGCATCACAATAAAAATTCTGAGTATCAGAAAACACCAAAGATTAAACATATGTTTGGTGGTAGGGCAGCTAGAACCACATGCACCTCTTACATACCTCAGTAGCAAACTGCTGGAGTCCACCAATATTAATTGGTCCTTCTTCAGTGGCATACAAGTTGCATCCTCCTACACAAAGATCCGAAGTAGGACATACCATTCCACAAGTAAGACCAAGTGGGTTATCAGAAAATATCATCTTGGCAGCTCCATAATAATTCTGCAAAATAAAATAAAATAAAATAAAATAAAAGTTATTATGTAACAATGTACCTTAAATATCAAACATGACAAACATCTCCTCTGTTAGGTAACTGGATTGAAGATCAAGATGTCAAGATGTAGGTAAGATGTATATTATAATATTATTTACCATCAGGAGCCATAAATGAACAACTAACAGAGTCCCTGAAACATAGGGATATCTATTACATAGACTATTGATAAAACCATAATGAATTTTAGAATAATGAAATTTAAAAAATAAACATCTGTAAAACATTTTACTCATAAGCTATTTAACTATATCTTGCCCTTAATTCTTATTTTCACTTTTAATAAATTTAAGTCAGGTAGCATTGCTTGAATAAGCTTAAAATCTAACTTTTAAAACAACAATGTATAAAAAGATCCTCATCCATGTAACTATATTAAAAACAGAGCTCTCTCTCCCTTCCCATTGCATGGCTTGTCTAGGGAAACTTACTGTATTTGATGACACTCTGTGCTGATTAACAACCTTTAGAATCTTCCCATTAATCAAAGACGCAGATGAAGCATATTTTATATGGACTCCTAGACTTCCACAAGTTCATCTTTTCATCATGCCTTTCCCCACATTTTACTATTATAGAATAGCTTAGAATACTTCTCACATATTAATAATATTTAGAACCTAATTTGTTCATAAATTCGACAATCACATTATTATATCCTGAATAAAGAACATATAATGAACTTAATATCTGGGAGTATTTTTCCTCTAATCATAAGCAAACATTGGGCCTGACCCATTCAAAAATTATGAAGTATGTTTAAAAGAAAAGGAAAAGTTTGAGAAACTATAATAGAACTATAATAGTCAAGAGGAACCTAAGGCACATAAAAAATAATGTAATGTGATATCTTAGAAATGATACTAGATCAACTAAAGAACATCAGGTTAAAAATTCAGGAAATTTGAATGAGCCAGGAATTTTAGTTAATATTTTTTCATTTACTGTAATAAATGTACCATATTAATGTAAGAGGTTAATAATGAAGATTATTGCAGGTGAAGAGGGGAACTCTCTGTACCACTGTTAAAATTTTTCTGTAAATCAAAAACTACTACAAAAAATATTTTAAGAAAACAGTGGGTAGAATGTATTTAACATGGTGGTATCAATACAAATTACTTTTCACTTGTTTTAAGATAATTTTAAAGATCTTTGAGAATATACACATTACTTCTACAAAGAAACGGAAACTCTCAAACACAAACACAAATACTTGGTAATAAACACAAACATTGATGATAATAATAAAAACATCAATATGTTCACTATTTGTTGACTTAGTACTTTCAGCATTTAGGAAGACCTTTATTTCATCTTATCCCAAACCATCTCTCATTATATAAGCTATGGAGTACTTAAATGAAACTTCATTGATGCAAAAAAAAAAACCCACAGATATTTGATAATCTAAAGATAACAATAAGGAGAAATGGGTTATAAATAAAGTTTAAAAAAAGAGATTCAAACTAAATTTGATACATATTTAAGAAAAGATAAAATGGAAAAAATATATGAAAATATCATTGGAATGCTGGAATCTATTTAAAAAAATAGACTGTCATTCTGAACTAAATATTCTGTTAGTGCATTTTCATGGCATTGGATTAGGCAATGGTTTCTTAGATATAACATCAAAAAACAGCAACAAAATTGAATTTTATCTAAATTACAAACTTTTGTATATAGTCGTTTTTGTTTTTTGGTGGTGCTGGGGATAAAACCCAGGGCTTTGTGCATGATAGGCAAGTACTCTACCAACGGAGCTATTTCCCCAACCCCCCAAAACTTTTGTATTTAAAGGGGCACTATCAAGCAAGTGAAAACAGGATCTACAAAATAGGACAAAATATTAACAAATCATATATAATATAATAATGGATTTTTATATAGAACATACTAACATTCACAGCTCAATAATAAAAAGAAAAGTAATTTTGGGCTGGGGCTGTTGCTCAGTGGTAGAGTGCTTGCCTAGCACATACAAGGTGCTGGGTTCAATCCTCAGAACCACATAAAAATAAATAAATAAAATTAAGGTATTGTGTCTAACTACTAAAAAAAATTATTAAAAAAAAGAAAAGTAATCTAATTGAAAATGGGCAAGGGATCAGGGAATATTTTTCTAAACTACATATCTGGCCAACAAGCACAAGAAAAGATGCTCATAATCATTAGCCATCAAAGAAATGCAAATCAAAGCCAAAATGAAATAACTCTTCTCACCCATTTGGATGGCTATTATTAAAAAGGCGAACAATGAAAACTTTGGGCAGTGATAGGAATAGAGGGAAATTGGAATCTTTATATATTGCTGATTGAAGGAAACATAATTTAGGAATGATAGATGCTTTAATGAATTAATGATATGTAACATGGATGAATCTTGAAAAGATTATGCTAAGTGAAAGGAGTCATTCATAACAGACCACATTTTATGGGATTCCATTTTTATAAATTGTCCAATAGAAAAAAGTATAGCAAAGAAAGCAGATTAGTGGTTTCCTAGGACTTGGGAGTCTAACAGAAAATGGAGAAAGACTGATAATGTATAGGGTCTCTTTTTGAAATGATAAAAAATATTCTCAGATTGACTGTAATAATTGTTACAATTCTGCAAAAATACTTGACTTCATCAAAATTAAACTAATTTACATAAACAAATATGGGATATGTGGCTTTTATGTCAATTTGTTATATTTTCTAAAGTGCATTTGAGGTAACAGGAATTATTTAGACAATTTAATACATAAATATTTGGTTAAGATTGCTAGATTATATACAAAAATGGACAATGACACATAGCTTCAGAGGAATTTTTTCTTCTGAACAAAAATAATTGCATCTGTATTGGATATAAATCTATGAGTTAACAAGTAAATTTGCAGTCTGAACTTTCAGGTAATATTACATAGCAGAGTCAGCCAATTGTTCTTTTTCCTGGAAAATTAAGTAGTACTTTGGTGTCCCTTGTATTCAAACAATTATTTAGTATGATAAAAGAAGGATAGAGTCATCTCCTTGGCCTAATTGATGATTTTGGATTATTTTACTCAATAATGGCCAAGAAGAACAATTACTAATTTTTAAAATTAATTAGTCTGCTCCTAAGCAGACAACCTAGGTGCTGCCTAAGCCAATTAATCACATCACTTAGTAACTGCAACTGTGCAGTTAATCACTGCTAGTGATAATCCTAGTCTTTGGTCAGTGTTCTTTCCTTCTCTTACTTGACATTTTAGGAATTCTGACAGGATTGATTAACATAAAAATCATATTGCCTAATTAGAAGTACCCTTGTAATATACACACAAAAAATTAAATAGATAGATATATCAGAAATAATATAATCCAATTAAACACCTAAGCATCTTTCCATAAGAACACTGATTGTTTCATGAGTCTTGATTTTAGTTTCAAAATTACACATCAAATGATAATACTAGAAGAAAAAGAGATATATATTGCATAAATGCAACAAATAAAATATTTAAAGTTATAACTTATGGTTCATGATTTGCTATAGCTGTCAAACTACTAAAGTCTAATATACCACTACATGTCATCAGCTATGAAATTGCCCAATAATTCTTCAACATTCTCATGAAGACAAATGGAGCCCTTGCACCAAAACAAAATTTGCAAGAAAATTTTATATTTTAAAAGATAATAATGATTTATGGGATTTTCTTTTAAGTCAAATGCATAATGGACATTAAACAAGATAAAAAGCAAATATCTGCTCTCTGGTTTGGCGATGTTTCAGCATCACAGAAGGAAACATTCAGATTACGGTATTCAGCATCAGTTTAAAATGGATGACAATCAAAATCACTCTGGGTGGAATAGGGCTAAAAAGATGAGACAGAATAMCATCTGAATTGGTAGGAGTAAATATTCAAGAAAATTCCAAGAAGGAATTGCTGTAATCATTTGGTGATGTGGTTAGAAACATTCATTTACACAGGCAAAAATGAATAGAAGATTAGAAAACTGTGTTTATACCAAATTATGGTGAATACTCAACACCAAGCTAAGGGTTTTTAATTGAAGATTTTTTTAAAAACAGGGTTCTAGTATTAAGGGATTAAATAGGATATTATTAAAGAGAGAATGTGAAGAGTCTCATTCTGAAAGGAACTGGAAAGAGAAAGCATGTAGGGAAGATAGCACAAGGATGTATCAGCATGAATCACAGAAAACAGAAGCCTGGGTTTGAAACTGGGTTGGGCCAACAATCAACAAGAATTCAGAGGTCACCTTGGCAATGCACTCTCTCAGATAACTGAAGATATGTAGGCAACTCCATTGTTTAGAGATCTGGGTACTCAGAGTTGAAGACATTCAGAAACCTTTTAGAAGGGAAAGGCCTCCTCAACTCTTCCCATAGAGAACAAGATCAATATCAATTCTCTCTCATAGCAAGTGGTACAATTTCTTGAGTCCTCCTTCTACACAAGAGGCTTACTTCTATTCTGTGAGCTCTTCAACCTTTTTAAAAGTAAAGGCTAGAAAATTTAAATCGACAAGGGTACTTTATAGACACCCCAGTAGTCTCCTTCTAGAAAATACACAGCACTTCAACTGGTTTCTTCATGCCATTCAATCAGTCACAAGCATTTGAGTGTTCCATTGTGGGAAGAAAAATGTACAGGGCTATGTTAAGAGGGATGCAAGGTAAACATCTGATCTTTAGGGCATAAAGTCACTTTAGGTAAAAAATGTGAAACTTTCATGTCTTCTTTTAATACAAATATAAGAAAGAAAGGTGATTTTTGAAATGGTAGTTGTTTATAAATCAACACAAAAGTATAAGCATTGAATATTTACAAGCCCATTACTTTAGTCATATTTGGCAGGTATTGAATTTTTGATGGGTCCTTAATATTCGCAAAGCATGTTTTTGGCATCACACATGCAATTTAGGTGAGTTAATTTTAAAATA